ATTCTTGGTTGAGATTCTCCTGTTTTCCGGGGCCGCTCCCATGGCTCTGTCCACCCGTATGGTGGGGTCCTCGTCCCTGTTTAGGGGTTCATGGGTTCCCACTTTGGTAGGGTTCGCCCGTTGGAGGGCTGAGCCCCCCCATCACTGGTAGTACCCATCCCCGATCAGTTTCAAGCTTTGGTGAGGGCTCAGACGGCCCTTGTGAGGTTGACTCTTCTCCAGCGAGGTTGGGCAAAATAAAGGGGACCAGTATGGCTTGATGAACACGGGTAGATACCGAAGCAGCAACATTGAACAGAATGTTAAACTACAGTGGGAAGCCTGGGGAGGGTTGGGGGGGGGATTAAGAGACCAACTGAAGGACTTATATGCATGCATATAAGATTAACCAATGGACACAAGACACGGGGCGGGGGGGGGTGGGGGGTAGGGATCGGGGGAATGTCAAGGGGGGGAAAAAAGGAGACATATGTAATACTATTTGTAATACTTTAAGAAATAAAAATTATTATAAAAAAAAAAAAAAAAAAGGAATACAGAGTTGGTAAGATGCAAGATGCTAAGCTCTGGAGATCTATTGCATAGCAATGTGACTACAGTTAACAATACTGTATTGCACACTTTAAATTGGCTAAGAGGGTAGGCCTTAAGTGTTCTCACCATATACACACACAAAAGAAAACAGTAACCAGGTGAGGTGATACATATGTTAATTAGGTTGATTATGTCACCTATTTCACAATGTATATTAAAACATCAAGTTGTATAGCTTAAATATATACATATTTTACAATTATACCTTAATAAAATGGGAAAAACAAATGTATGGTGGTTTATTAAATAAATAGAGTAGACTAAGGAATCCTTAGCGAGATGGGAAACTTTTGAGTAAAAACCAAAAGAAAGTGAGAAAACCAATGAAGATATTTAGGTAATAAAGTGGTGAAATGCTTAAATTAGACATTAAGGTACAAGTATATAAGTATTTCTAAAATTACCTGTGATTAAATTTGGGGAAAGTTAATAAAATAGTATTTATACATTAGAATATTAAAACCAAGTTCTAGTAGGCCAGAATGAAAACAGCAACAACAAACCCACCAAGAAACACTTTTATAGAGGCTCTGTAAACTCCTAGCGCGCATATATATATATATATATATAGACACACACACACATATATATACATATATATATAGTTTACTCAGGAAACAGGATTTCATGAATAAATCACAAAATACAAATTCAAATGTTTCACTGAAGTTGCTTTCAATGGTAGAACTTTCTATACAAACCAAAAATATGCATATAATTAGTTCACCATTAAAAAAACAAGATATACATAAATAACCCCTGGAAGGACTTTTATGACTTCTCTATCTTTAAGGTGGGCTCTCCTTTATTTTAACCTAATAAACAGGTACAAAAATGTTACTTGACAATGGAGAAGTTTGAACAAATATATCTGCTTAAAGAAGAGTCCCAGTGGAGAACCAAACAGGTTCTATTACTTACTTCTGAGAATTGTTATCCAAGAGAAAAAAAGTCGAGTTCACTAATGCTAGTTGAACAGGTAATCTGACTTAACTCTGGAAAACTCAAATAACTCATAAGCAAACATCTACAAAAATATACCTCGAATAATTCTTGTAAATGTTTTCTCTTCTCCATTCTCCTCCACATACACAATTTTTACACTTGCAAAAGAAGAAACAGGCTTTCCAATATGTGCTCCATGAATAAGTTCTTGAATATGTTTCACTCTTAAATTGGCTGTTTTCTCTCCCATGACAAAACTAAGTGCATCCATTACATTAGATTTTCCTGGGGTCAAAAAGAGGGGAAAGGAGAGGAGAGAGAGGAGTTATTCACTCTTAACGATAAAAACAAAAACACCCCACCTTGCCCAGAGGCAAAGAAACCAGGCCACCAATGGAAGTGAAAGATAGCCAATACACGTCTAAATAGCACTGTCTTGTCTACATTAACATCGCATGTGACTGGCTTCCTCCATGCAGCTATGGTGGAGTATTAAGCGGCCTAAAGTTACGAGGCTTAATATGTAGATCTAAACCCAACTCTCTCCCATTTTTAAGCATTATGCCACGGCAAATCATTTAACTCCCCCAATTTCCGTTATACCCTTTTTATAAATATTGACTGTCACATCTTTTAAAGGGCTAACTCTATCCAGGGTTTCTCCCCGGCGCTGGACGAAGGCTGCTGGAAGGTTTGTGACTGGTAGGAGCTGGTGGGCCAAGAAAAACGACATAGCAAGTCCGAGCCGGCCGCACCTGCGAGGCCTGCCGCACCGGGGGGTTTGGGGGGGGGGGGGGGTGGATTG